CCCCCCCCCCCCCCCCCCCCGAGGATTTTGGTAGGAGTGCGATTAATTAAGTAAACTGCTGTTTTGACACACTCCCCCCAAAATTCGTGTGGAAGAGACGCTTGAAACCTAAGGGATCGGGCCACATTTTGTTGTGGGGTACTAACACAAGACGTTTGAATACACACACCCAAACTATCATAATACTGACGCAATGAAGAATTGAGAAATTCAGTGCCATTGTCAGAACGAACAATTTTTATAGTTTTGGAGTATTGGGTGTTGATCATTATGAAAAAACGCCATAGACAAGAAGTGACCTCACTTTTTGATTTAATCAAATAAACCCAGACAGCCCGAGAAAAATCATCAACAATTGTCAGAAAATAATGTGCCCTAGACAAAATACAAGTCGAATAAGGTCCCCACAGATCACAATGAATTAAATCAAAAATAGCATCAGCTTTATTATCACTAATACGAAATGGGGAACGAGTTTGCTTAGACATAAAACAAATGTCACAAGTCTGCAATTTTTGAACAACAGATTGTGTTTTATTGGTACCAAGAAACGAAAGAACGTCAACGGAAGGATGGCCTAGCCGTTAATGAAGAACAAAGGGATCGAGATTGGCTACGAGGGCTGACACAGGAACAGATGCAAAGACATACATGCCATTTCGCAAATCACCCAGTCCAATCACCATCTTCGACGAACGGTCCTATATCACACAACGATGATCATTAAAAGTTACATAACAAGCATTATCACGAATCAAACGTCCAACAGAAATCAAGTGACACTGTAAGTTTGGTACGTATAGCACATTACGTAATACAAAACGAGATGACAAATGAACACTTCTCTGTTTTGTGGCCTGGACACGAGACCCATCAGGGAGACGGACAGAATGAGGAGAAACATCCTCAACATTGCACAAGTGTAAGAGAGAACCTATCATGTGATGCAAAGCGCCACTATCAATTAACCAATCAGAAGAAGAATTACCGGTGTATGCATGAGAAGCGGACGCCTCTAACATAGATATCAAGCGGGACATTTGATCACTGAGGTTGCCACTCGGATCAGACACGGATGCATGGACAGCTGCTGAAGGACTGCCGCTACTGCCCTGGACCGGCTGCCCATTGCTGGCAGGGGTGTGGAGGGCGCTGCCGTGCCGAGTAGAGCCACGGCCACCGGACGCCGAGCCCCCTCGACCTGTAGAGCCACTACCGCGACCCCGCCCTCCACCACGAGCGTACTGTGCTGGAAATCCAATAAGCTCAAAACATGTATCCACGTTATGATTGGTACGACCACAATGCGAACAAGACCTATTTGGAATGAGAGGGTGTTTGTTGGGTCGGGCGGAGAAAGCAACGGAGTCCGTGCGATCGTCCCGAGTGCGAACGATATGACGATGGCGCTCCTCATGGGTGACCAAAAAATACACACGGTCGAGATCGGGCACCGGTTCAGTGCCTATAATCTAAGAACGAATATTTCCAAACTGTTCATCATCCAATCCAAGCAAGAAGTCCACGGTTTTGTCACGATCAATACGGGCGCGCATGACCCCTACGGCCTCACACCGGCAGCCCCCGGTAAGATCTGAGGAGCCATACAATTGATTCCATGAAGTAATAAATTGGTTGTAGTAGGAAACAACACTTTGACCTTTTTGGCGTAAAGAATTCAGTTCTGACTTTAACTGGTACACACGAGGCCCATTAGAGCAACTATATCGCTTCTTCAAATCACCCCACAACTCATAAGCAATTGAATGAGAAACAATACTGGGTTGGATAGATTCATCAACACTGTTAAAAATCCAACTACAAATAATTTGATGATTAAGCACACCATGCAGACAATTCCTGTTCATCAGTAGGTTTGGGAACACCTCCGGATGACAAGAACACAGATTTTCCACGACCACCCAAAGCATTACGAATTGCCTTCTCCCATACATCAAAATTATCACTTTTAAGAAGATATTTTGTCAATGAGTTACCCGGGCCTTTGGAGGGGTGAAGGTAATATATGGAAGAAGGATCATGAATGAGCCGAGTCTTTTTAGGGTTGGAGGCCACGATTTCACCGGTCATGGGGACGGACGTTGAACACACGAGCTAGCGACGAGATGAAGGTGTTGGGTTTGTGGAGGCTTGGGCTTGACTTTTGGCCCGACCCATGTTACGAAACCCTAGATGCACTCTTCCTATATATATTGCATACTTGTACTTGTAATTGGCACCACAAGTGAAATAAGAAAATCCTCCTGTTGCAGCCGTGGATTAGGGAAACCGAACCACGTTAAATTCTTGTGTGTCATTTGTGTTTTGTTTCTCTCGTTTCTCGCAGATTATTTGTGTGTGTTGTGTGTTTAATTCCCAACAAGTGGTATCGGAGCCAATTGTTCAACACGAACACAAATTGCGAGAAGATTTGTCACCTAGGGTTCTTGTGTGAAGAACCGTGTGGGATCCAGATCGCCCGGGTGTGTGGCCGTTCAATTGAGGAGCGCTGCTGTGTAGGCTATTTGTGTAGCGGCAGAAGCTGCGATCCAGAGGAGGGACACGCAGCAACGAAGAACAACGTTGAGGAGCAGCCGCTGAGTGACCCACGCACAGATTTGCCGGGGATCTCAGCCGTCATCCGCCGTCCAGATCCGCCGCCGCCACGTTAAGGAGCCGCCGCGAAGCCGCGCCGTTTCAGATCGCGCCGACACCGTCAAATCAGATCGTCGCCGCTGGAAAACTGAACGCGGCAGGAGCGAGAGAGAAGTTTGTCGCACAGGGAAGCGCCGCCGCACCGAGATCTGAGACTGGAGACGCCGTCGAGCTCCCAGATCGCCGCCGTCGTTTGCGCGCAGACAGTCGCACGCAGGAGCAGCGGCAAAAGGAGCCGCCGCCGTCGGGAATCGTCCGTCGAGATCGCTAGCTGCGAGCTGTCACCGCCGTCCAGACTTTGTGCCGCCGCCGTCGTTTTGCTGTTGCCGACTGTTGCCCTAGTGCACAGAACAGGACCCCGTTGAAAAAAAAAGTCAGTGGGCCAAATTTGAGTTTTAATTGGTCAGACATTTTTTTTGGGCTCAATTGGATTGAATTGGTTTGGGCCGTACTTTCTTGTGGGTGGATATTGGGTTGATTTATTTTGGCTAATTTAATTGGTGTGGTGGGCCTGATTTTCTGACAAAATTACCAAGATCTGAAATTTTTGTACCTGGTATCTCGTCCACTCGTTTGAGATGGCAGAAGACGGGAAGTTCCGAATTGAGAAGTTCGATGGTACAGATTTCAGTTGGTGGAAGATGCAAATTGAAGATTTGCTGGTTCAGAAAGATTTGGACGTGGTTTTAGGTGGCAAGCCAGAAAAAATGTCGGATGCAGATTGGGCAGTTTTGGATCGGAAAGCAATGTCCGTGATCCGTCTCTCGTTGACCGAGAATGTTGCGTTCAACATTCTGAAGGAGAAGACAGCGAAGGGAATTATGGACGCGTTGTCTAACATGTACGAGAAGCCATCTGCAGCGAATAATGTTTTTCTGATTAGAGAGCTGGTGAACACAAGGATGAAAGAAGGCACTTCAGTTACCGAGCATATCAACAAGTTGAATTCGATATTAGCCAGACTTTTGTCAGTGGGCATTAAGTTCGATGATAAAGTTCAAGCTTTACTACTGCTATCGTCTTTACCTGATAGTTGGTCCGGAACGGTTACAGCGGTTACTGGTTCAGTGGGACCCGATGGGTTCACCTTTGATCAGATTCGAGATCTCGTTCTTGGCGAGGACGTTAGAAGAAAGAGTTCAGGGGAGTCATCTGGTGAATTGCTTCATGTTGGTAGAGGCAGAAGATATAGCAGAGGTAGTGGGAGCCGGAACAGACAAAGGAGTCAGTCGAAGACTCGTGACTGCTCGGGTGTAACATGCTGGAAGTGCAACGAGGTAGGGCAGTTTAGGAATCAATGTCCGAATGATAAGAAAGTAAACATTGCGACGAGGAGGTCGCTCTGACTTGCTGTGAGGAAAGCAATGTGGATTCCTGGGTCATGGATTCTGGTGCTTCCTTTCATGCCACCCACAGCGGTGAAGTACTGCAGAATCTGGTTATTAGAGACTTTGGAAAGGTACGACTAGCGGACGACAGTGCTCTTGAGGTGACGGGCATGGGTAACATGATGTTGAAGACCTCAGTCGGTCTCTGGACTTTGAAGGATGTCAGAGTGGTTCCGGCCTTGAAGAAAAGTTTGATTTCTGTCAGGCAGTTAGACGAACAGGGACACGAGGTGAAGTTCAGAGATGGGCAGTGGAAGGTCGTGAAGGGAAATCTTGTCATGGCCTGCGGAAGGAAGAGTGGTTCGTTGTATATGGTCGAGCTACCATCTGAGGGAGTGACCGCCTCAGTTCAGAAGAGAAACAAAGTCCGGTTCACAGAGTCTCGTGGGCAGAATAAGGTTGTCTATGCAAGAGAGAAACCTAGAGCCACAGGTCAGACTCGGGATGAACGAGCGTGGAAAGGTTCAAGGAGGCCAGTCAGAGGTATTTTTGGCAGTGGGAGCTCAAGAGGCGCTTCAGCTAAGTTGCCTAGAAGACAGTGGGTCAAAAGAACCAGTATTCCAGCTCTTGGAACATCTCCAGAAAATTTCTTGCTGAGTATGGAGAGTGTTTGTTCTCAGGATGTTCCAGAATCCGGCATTGTGCATCTGCAGTGGGAGCCGGTAGGGACTGAGGACGAGTCAGGGGCCGATTTTGCCGTGACTGATGTGTTGGAGCTTGGGAGAGCTTCAACGGGCCTTTCAGTTGTCTGATGATAGGGCCGCTGCAACAGGAGAGCTGAGAAAGATTACTCGATGTACAGGGAATCGTGGTGGATGGAAGTTGATGACTATCAAGCCTCCAAGTGGGAGAATGTTGGGTTTGTGGAGGCTTGGGCTTGACTTTTGGCCCGACCCATGTTACGAAACCCTAGATGCACTCTTCCTATATATATTGCATACTTGTACTTGTAATTGGCATCACAAGTGAAATAAGAAAATCCTCCTGTTGCAGCCGTGGATTAGGGAAACCGAACCACGTTAAATTCTTGTGTGTCGTTTGTGTTCTGTTTCTCTCGTTTCTCGCAGATTATTTGTGTGTGTTGTGTGTTTAATTCCCAACAGAAGGCAGCGGTTGATGGCAGACAGACCAGCGACGGAGGAAGGCCGACAGGCTCTAATCTCCGGCGCACCAACGACGAACAGACACCGCCGAGCTGATGGCGAACACACCGGACGGCACACGAACGAGAACACGAACGTAGGGTTTTGAGACTTTGCCCTAGGATCGCTCCGATACCATGTAGAAATATTTTACGTGAAACTTGGTTTTCCATTAATCATCGGGAGTTTATATACATAACCGAGAATACAAGTCACGGGCCCAAACTATACACGGCCCAATACACAATAAACAAATATACATAAATATACTAGGCTAACAATTTGAAAGTTATATAAAAAAGTTCAACAAACAAAATATTATTTATTTAAATAAACAATGAAAATAGAGATATTAACAAAAATTAGTGTGACCCTAGAAAAGTACTCCATTTGTCGTATTGTCATAGAAAGAGATTCCGCACTACGATTTCTAGTGTCAAATTATATCTCGTAATTATCGTTCTATCATGTATTTTCAAATTTCAATGACCATTTGACAAAACAAAGTACAGATTTCATCTCTTATTTTACAAAATTATCCATAATAATTTCAACTTTACACATTCTTTCAAAAATAATATCAGTTTTCACTGTGATGCATAACAATTCTAATTTTACTGAAATTTGCAAGTGTTAGATTGCTGTTAAGTTGCTAATGTCTGATCGACAGAGGCATATTTTGCGCAACAAAATAATAGTTAGTATTGGTTTTGAAATTTATTTTTTAATTTCTGAATTTTTGTTTTTAATTTTATTTTGAAAATTTGTCATAAATTTATTAATTGAGTTTCTACTTTCATCGTTTCTTTTTCTTTTCTTACGATTAGTCTTACATTAGAAAAAATATAAAAATAGATATAAAAAAGAAAATGATAAAAACAACTAATCTCATACAAAATTAATAAAATTAAAAAATAATTAATAAAAACTAACTCAAACTAGATAATAAAAATATATATACGAAGTGGAGGGTTCTAACATTTTAGGCACTATACAGAGTATTAATTTATTTCTTTCTACCGTTGGTAAAAAAGAAAATAAAAAAACATATTAAAACCATAAAAATTGAAATAAAAATAAAAAATAAAAAAATTATTTTCTTCAATACAATTTCATTTTAGTTATTTCCGAATAAGAACAATGTTTTTTAAATTTATTTAGGGTTCTGATAACAATTTTTTTATTTAAATGTTTTTCATTTTTCATAATTGACCAACATGAAGAAGTAATACATTAATCCTTTGTATAATGCGTAAAATGTTTGAACTCATCAAGTCATATATATTTATTTTTATTTCTTACGAGTTTTAGGTTAGTTTTTATTGATTACCTTATTTAATTCATTAATTTTGAAAGGTTTTAGTTGTATTTTTATTTTCTTTATTTCTTATATTTTTTTCTATAGGTAAAAACTAACTTTTTTAAGAAAAGAAAAAGAAATGATGGAGGTAGAAAGTCATTTAAAAAACTTATAAGGAAACTTTAAAAAAATCAAAAAATGGAAATTTATAATAAAAATACTCTTACCTTTAATTTTGTTGCGCAAAACAAACTATTTTCGATAATCAACCGTCAACAGCTTAACGGCGGCCCAAAACATGCAAATTCTAGTAAAGTTTTAATTATTATGTATCAAAGTAAAATGTGATACCCGGAGTATTATTTTTGAGAAATCGAGTAAAGTTGAGATTATTTTAAATAATTTTTTCAAACTTTAATGTACTTTTTAAATACGAGTATGTAATCTTTATGTTTTATTTTACACCAACTTCTATATAAATGAAACTGAAAATAAATTTAGTGAAATATCGAAAATCTTAAAATTAAGTTTTTTATGGGAGAAAAGAAGTATATAATTTACAATTTATAACCTTATAGGTATAATTGTTAAAGTATAAATTATACCCCTTTCTTCAGAAAAATAAATCTTCATTACAATTTACAATGTTTGACTTACTTTATTTCAAAATATGTTTTTAACATTGGTATAAAAGGAAAAAAAAATTAATACTCCGTAGTTTAAAACTAAGCTATAAGGTCTAGGTCTAATAAACAATGGAGCAATTTTGTCCTACCCAACAAATCCAACATCTCTCCTCACAAGTTCACTCCTCAAAATTAATAGGGAAGTTCATCCAAGTTTGAGTCCTAGTGGAAGCTGAAGCTTTGATTCTTTGTGTGTTATTAAATTGAGAATAGTATGAACAAATATTACTTTGTAATATAGTCAGCATTCCAAAAAAATAAAAGAAAAACAAAGTTGCCTTAACCAAATGATTAGACCTGGTAATGGGTTGGATTCGAGCCAATCCATAGTATTGTTCTATACCCTTACCCTTTAAAAACAAAAATTCACATCAATATTCCGAAAAATCTATGATTTTGTAAGAATACTCTGAAAATCAATTAATTTCACGGCATTACTTCCACAATTACTTTATTTTTACAAAAACACTCCACCTGTCACATTACTTACACAATCATATAGTGTAATATCTACATTAATTTTTAAAGTGATAACTTGAAAAATAAATTATTTTTTTTAGTTTTCATACAAAAAAATACGGAGGAGTTACTTATTCTTCCACCAATTCAAATATCAATCTGACAATCTCTTACTTTGAGGGTTTGTTCTTTTGAATTGGAAAATTTAATTTTCAACTTTTTCTGACTCATAAATTTTTCCTACTTTCCAGAGTTCTTCCAATATTTAACTTTAGAATTCCAACTATAAACATGCCCTAATGTAATTATGAAAGATGTGATTCATTTTTGAGTTGGAGAAGGAATATAATATTTTTTAATGAAACTTTGAAAAAAGTAACTTTTTTCAAATCATCACTTTAAAAATTCATTTAGGCCCCGTTTGATATATGGAATTCAAACCATGGAATTGGAATTGAAGACTTCAATTCTAATTCTGGTGTTTAGTAGCACAAAAATTATGTGGATTTGAAATTGATAGTGCAAAAAACGAATTGAAATTGACAAAATTCAATTCTATGGAATTGAATCCCATGGAATTTCAATTTCAATTCAATTCTAATTCCATCAATTCCATATACCAAACGGACCCTTAGGTATTTTACAATTTTATTGTATAAGGTGGTGGGTGAAGTGTTTTTTGTAAAAAGAGAACAATTTTAAAAGTAATGGTGTAATTAATTGGTTTTCGGAGTATTCTTGTAAAATCATGAACTTGTCGGAGTATTGTTGTGAATTTTCCTTTAAAAAAATTGATCCTGACCTTGTACCCGTTTACCCGATGGATATTGAAGTTTATTCCTAGATTTGGACTCATTGAGTCTCGATATCGGATCAGGTGTACTCGTGATAAAAGTCAACGTCTTTTATTTTTGTATAATTGAAAAAAGCTTAGTTAAATACTATGAATGGAAATCATCTTATTTGAATAAAAATAAAAATAAGACTAATACCTTATTACAACAAAAATCAGACTTCTTTATCAAAAATTTGCAACAAAACTCTTAGATTCATAAATAGTCTTTTTGTCGCATTATTTATATTGCAAGAATGTTCTTTATAATATCACAAATTATTTATTTCATACTACTGCATAAACCAACGTGTAACTACCTCTAATGTAGTGGAATAAATACAAATTTGAAAGCCACAGCTAGCAAAGGCTAGCAAAGGGGAGTAGCGAAGGAGGGTAGGGTTTTGTAATACTTAATGATATCTATTTATTTAACCGATATGGGTTTTGAACGGATCGAGACTACTCGTCCTATACCCGACCCTTTATTTTTTAAAATAACAATTACGGGTAAACGGTATTTATAAATGACCAATATCTAACTTTTGTTTTGTACTTTAAGTGAGAAAATATTAAAAATTAATAAAAGACAAAATCAAACAGTTGCAGAATTATAAATACCGAGTACTCTGTAAAAGGCTAATGAAAATTATGAAACATCATTTCAGAAACTTGTACATTTTGACAGCATACAAAAGGATGGAACTTTGTTCAATCTCATGTACTATTTGAGAGGAACAGATTGTAAACACACACATAAACGCAACAAAAGGTTCTAAATAGTCATCTATAAAACTCCCTAATAATAGCACATCACGGATTCACTGGTTACCTTTGTGTAGTTGAGATTATGCAGATTCTGTATTCCTCACCTGGGCAGAGCTGCTGGGGTCCACTTCCATGGCAGCAGCTGGTCTGGGAGGCGATTGAGGCTGTACCTCCACATCTGGGTAAGCGGCCTTGAACCGTGCCCTAAGCCCTTCGTCAACTAACCGCACCCCTTGCAATTGGTTTCCAAGTGACATCCATCTGATTGGATACACAAGAAACGACTTAGTCCAGTAACACACCATAGCACATGACAATCCAACGCAAAACTCAAGGATTATATTCATTAACACTTGGAAGAATAATGAATAGTACTGTACGTCTGTTACGATGTAGGAGCATAAAGATAAAGGCCATATCGAAAAAAGAAAACTAAAATATAGAACTAAAATGAAGAAGAAAACTCAAAATAATAATCAAATGTGGAATATGAATTTTGTTGTCAAAGCTATGGGCACTAGAACGAAGGGTTCTAAAGATGAGAGAATACCCAGCATGAACATTATGCATTCGTGCAAACAACTCCAGCTTTCTTGTCCTTGGACTTATCCTTTCCAGCATGGCATACATCTGCGAGAAAACAAGCAAATAATGTAAGAATGAAGATACAATAAAATAAATCGTTGCGGCTGGCCACTCATTCATTATTTAACAACACTACCTAACAGAAACACTCCACTATGAACTCAACTGGGAGTACAACCAAATGGATAGCCAAGGATCCAAACCCAGAACTATGAATGCTTAAATAGTATGCCTTAACCCATAAAACCAAAGATTATTGACACATTACCTCATCTGGCTTGCGACTCGTTTCACGAACCTCAGCAACAATGACATCAGTGTCAATATTCCTGTTGACCTCTGGATTGCCCTTTATGCCGACCAGGCAATGCTCTTTACTATGGTTAAGCCAATGACCCGTTCTACCGGTTCGGATAATTCGCTGAAGTTGATTGGTCTTTACCCAAATAATCTCCTCAACACGTTTGTAACCCCAAAGTTCTAAACTGCAAGGAGTACGTCATATGATGATTAGCTATAGCCACGAATCCATTTTAAAAACAATAGAAATCTCTTTGAGACATGCAATAACAAAGATTTATATTCAGAATCCAAACTTCAATGTATACCATTCACGTCCGAGTTCCATAGCTCTTCCAGTTACCCAAAGGAAAATTAAACCATCAGTCTGGAGTGCAGGGACATTTAGAGTGCGCATTTCATCGTCAGCCATTGTTCCATAAGGTAATTCCATGTGAATATCCCAGGGTGGATCTGCCATGATTATTCCAAACTGTCCTAAAATATCCATTCTGAACGAGCGAATGTCACAGTTTATCCATTGTGGCTCACCAAGCTCCACTTCTGAACAATAGTGAGCACGCTGCTGCAAAGGTTTGGGTGGTGGAGGAATGGCCCCTGTTCCCATCATATGGTGTGACATATCCGGTGTTGAGTCAAGTTCATAATGCACATACTTGCATGTCTGTCAATGAAATGATAAATAAATCCAAACATAGCAAGTTCAGTATTAAAAATCAGCAATAGAACTTCAAAAATAATGAACACAATTTATCATGTGATTCATGTCATAAACTAAAAAGAATATACCTTCATGTGACGACAAGTGTCAAGAAAAGAGCAATCCCCCAAATTGACATCAGTATGTGCAGCAATAATGCGCCGGAAATGAACCTAACATGTAGCAAAGTGTCAAAGTCAATTCAATATATCAGTTGAAATCAGTACATCTTTTGGACAATATGTATTCCTGAAAGGGTCTTCAATAGCTTCAGATTATATTCTCCTGAAATAGGATCAAATTTACTCTTAGGTCACAGTTTAGAGGTGAAGTTTGTAAGGCTTGAATCTGACGCTGACCTTCACACAAGCAATAAAAGAACCAGATTGACGTCGACAATCTTCTTTTGTCAGTGCAGAACAGTATTCCTTTACTTGGGAACCGCCTTTGCTTTTGAACTGTAGAGAAAGACAACGAATGGTATTACAACCCGTCAGTATGATATAATGGGAGGTCACTCTGGTTTAAAAATACATATATTTTAGGTACTTAGCCCCCCGATAGCAGCATAAATTGCAAGCTACAAGGCTAAATTAATGGGAAATCATTTGATTGTAGAGGCTTCATAGCTCATGATGTGATTAATTTCTGTAAATTAATTGCACTTAAATCATGTACACGATGATTATTTAACTAATGTGGTGTTTCTGATAAGAACACAACATTTCATGATACATGAACTTTACTAGGCTTCATTCAATACCTTTGCAGCAACAGCAGTCTCCTTGGCTGTAGGTCTGTGAATAAGGTCCAATAGCTCCTCTCCAGTTTTTGATTTTTGCATTTCCATAAAACTCTTCTTATTCAGCAAAGCCTCAAGATCTTTCATATCATCTTCTTCAGTCCTAGGCTTCAGATTTGCCCCACTAAATTGCCCATTTGGTCCAATCGGGGGCCTTGGCAATGGAGGCAGCACACCAACCCCCCTTGGCATTCCACCTATAATCCCAACCATTCCTCTTGGACCACCTCTCAGACCCATATTCCCTGGAAACATAGGAGGCAATCCGGGCATGTGGGGAGGTTGGTGTTCCATCTGCCCTCCCATCCACATTTCAGGCCTACCCACTCCAAAAACTCCTGCATTATTAGCATCACTGACTGCTTTTAACAATTCAGGCTTCCGACTTTCCTCAATTGATCCACCCTCATTCTGCTGATATAACTGCTTGCTCTCAGGCAATTCTTTCAAAAGACGGGTCCTATCTATATTCATCACCATTACTCTAGATTTTCCACTTACCACGAATTCCTCCATCTCAACCCCGCAATTGTCTTCTGCCATCGACTTCAATGCCATCTCCACAGCTAGTATGCCTCCAGACTCCCCTCCAAGCTCCCTGAGAGCTGCCCTCTCAGCAGCAGTTATGGACTGATCATTCTCCAGCTTCCTTATCACAGTAGACGAATCAATCGGCGCAAATGGAACTCTCTCCAGCAAACATACAGCGACTATAGCCCTTACCACAGACAACGGACCCCCGCTCTCATCAATGACCATTTTCTCATCCTCCAATCTCGAAGCCGCCGGAGAACGCTTTCCCAGTGCGCTGCTAGTGTTAGCAGGAGTGAATTTGGGATCGGAGGGGAGCAATTTGGGACAACGGACATTAGGGTTAGGGTTAGATGAGAGAGTATCGGGAAGGGGAACGAAAGGTCGGCCGCTGAAGCAAGAGATTGCCTTGAGGGAGAGATCAATGGAGGAGACAATATTAGGGACAAGGTTCTGCAGAGAGGCGATAAGGTCCAGCTGAGCGTTGTGTACGGACGCCGCACGGGATTCTAGCTGTTGCCGCAACTCCTTCGCCGCCGCCGTCTCGTCGTTGAGGCCGTCCGATTGCGCATCCATTTTGCGAGTATTGTTGCACAGCTTAACGACAACTGATGATTCAGGAGGATGGCATTAACGGAAGATCGTAACTTATGGTGACTGGTAGGGCTGTTAGGTCCTAATTGAAAAAATTGACATAACCGGACCGTTAGGTCTAAATGATTTTGGGTCAGTCTTGGATCAAAAGAAATTAGGCAATTGAGTTTCAATCTGATCGCATCTGAAATAACTTAGTAATGTACCGAAAGAACCTAATAATCTTATTAAATTTAACACTTCCGTTCAAATGACATTGAACTAATAAACTTTAATGTCATAGCCCATAGGATGACTCGGGACACTTACGGTGCTCCATTTGAAAAATTGATGGTTCCTACCCCTCGGTAACCTCCCCTACCATATCTTGACCCGAACCGACCTCCCCCTCCCCACCCCCTCCAATTGCACCCCACAAAATTTAGTTGACTTGAAAGTCAAATTTTGACTCCAAAGCCAACTAATTCTGTGGGGTGCAATTGCGGGGTGGAGAGTCAGCTCGAGTCGGGCTGGGGTAGGGAGGTTTACCAGGGGGTATGAGAGTAAAAACCATCAATTTTTCAATAGGGGACTAATATCACCCGAATCACCCCCCAAATTTAAAATACTCTAGTACTAAAATTTTACTTTTTAAATTCAGTATTACACGTTGATGTTCTATTTTGATAGATATCTTAATTTATTTACTTCATAATTTTTTTAAGTAATTTTTCTAAGTTATTATGTATTTCACATTAGTTCTTATGATTATACATTGAAGTAGGGGTGAGCAAGTATCGAACCGATAACAAAATATCACGAAAAAACCGAGAATACCAAACCGAAAAAATACCGAGAAGGAACCGAACCATACCGAACTGAATGGTCGGTACGGTATTTGGGAACGGTACGAGGGGACGTCCCATACCGAAAATCCTGAACCGAACATATATACTAAAATATTATAAAAAATAATACCCCGGAGTAATATTTTTATATTCCTTCAGTAAATAATACTCCGGGTAATTTTTTTAAAAAAAATTGGTTCAAGTTCTATTATGTGTAAATTATACAATTATTTGAGTTTAAACTTTTGTGCATGAACATAAAAGTATTCACAAAGATTTGAAACACTTTCTCATTGTCCTTCATTTTTTAGTTTGTGAAATATAAACTAAGTCTTGATACTAATCTCTTGCATTTAAATATTCATTTTTTTAAATTTTTCATGTTTTTTTTAATTTAAATTCACTTTTTAATTTTCAAAAATAAAGGGGCATTGTTAAATTTTAACGTGCAAAGTAGGTATGTATATTCATTCCGATTTGTACCGAAACCGATACCGAACCATCCCAAACCATACCAAACCGATATTTCGGGATCGGGATCGGTATGGGTAAAATCTCATACCGAACCGAAATATTTGGTACGATATCGGTACGAGCTAAATACCGTACCATACCGTACCATGCTCACCCCTACATTGAAGTACTCCATACGCATGCATTTTTAGTTTATCCATTTTATTTTATTTATTTCTATTTGCACGGTATGAATTGAAAGGTCTAAAAAATAAGTAATAGGTTAAAATAATTATGAAATATACTTTCGGACCAATTCGGTCTTAAGTATTTCGGTCTGTATTCGATTCGGTCCGATTCATTCTGGTCTTGGATTGATGAACAGCCCTAGCCCCTAGTGACTAGTGACAAGATGTTCTCTTTATCGCTGTGGTTCGGCTTCCTGTTATGGACAGGTTCATTATTTTTATTTTATTTTTATATTTTAGTCTTTTAGATTTGAGAAAATAACAAAAATTATAAACAATAAAATTAATTGGCTAGGTTATAATGACATCTAACTTGGAGGTGCACTTGAACGGGGTTAGGAAGGTTTGCCTGGACATTGTTCACATCCGGACCACATTCTTAGATATAGATCCTAATTGCACATGATTAAATTCTTTGATTGGTCATACTTCCGAAAAAATTAGCGAACCTCAATCATGAACTCAAATAAAATAATTTATGACCGATCATGAAATGTATCACCATGTAAGTTAAACTGGGCTTAACCAACAAAGGAATGGATGAGTCTATTAGAGGTGGGAGCCTTCAGCTATTCTTCATCGCCGAAAGCACAATTGAGTATGTTTGGATCCACACAACAATGATACAAGTACTAAAATTTTAGAGATTATAGCAATGTGATTGGGACGATATCAGTTGTGAAAGCTACTGCAACAATGCTTTCGTTTGTGGTAGACCCAATGAAGGCTCAAGCACTGTAAAGCTTTGCCACGATCATGGCGTTCATGGCCATGTTTAATTTCATCCATCCCTTTTCATCCCAAAGGTGGTTAATCCTCCAACCCCTTTCCAATCTATACACGATAGAGTCATAATGTTGGTCATGTGTGTATATCAATTATCTTGTAGCGGAGGTTATGTGGTTCAAGTCGCACTCGAATGTCGTGGGTACTTGTATGTGTGTGAATGAACTATAAGGTTAGGATATACGCATTTTCTAGGACCAATTGATTTTAGGAGAGTTGGTAGCGCCATAGATCATACAAGTGGTATCAGAGCCAAGGTCGCGAGTTCAATTTCTAGAGGGAGCAATTGTTGAGAGAGAGATTGTTGGCCATGTGTGCATTAGTTGTCTCGTGGCAGAGGCTATGTGAGTCAAGTTACACTTAAATATCATGGATGCTTATATGTGTTGAATGCATTATAATTCTATATGGCTAGGGTATGAACATATCCTAACACCAGTTGATTTTCGAAGAGTTGGTACTGCGTGAAGTCGTACACGAAATGCCCGACATTGATTGTTCTGTTATTTGTCACTCGTTAACCATCACAAAAGGATTTTGACCGATCAAATAAAAGAAGAGGTAGGTGGGAAGTTACCAAAGGGATTTTTTCAAGAATAAGTCAAGAACGTTTTAAAGATTGACATATTAAGAAGTTTTGTCACCTGAATGGTTGGCCATGTGTGTCGATTATATACACTTGAATAAAGCCTAGCATGTCCTATGGTCTCCAATATATTGTCCAAACCAAATGGTAGACGAAATTGCTAGATGTGGCATATATAGGTTTGTGGATATCTATAAGGGCTACCAACAAATATTTATGGAAGAGGAAGATGAAGACAAAACGTTTACATATCAGGTCCTAGATATTTGATGGTAGTCCTTAAAAGCGTCCATAAAACTCAGCAACCATAATATATTTTTTATTAGCGCATATCCCAACCCAACTACACGGATGATAATTTTTTTAATTCGAATGAGTCTAAATCTCAACAATATGATACTTATACAAACATCTAACGAACCATAATACTATTTCAACTCAAACTCAACCTTGATTAACTTGATCTCATGCCAAACTCTAAGCCTTAATCTTTATTGAGTTGACCCAACTAAAATCCAAATCTGAACCAGGAAAAAATATGAACTCGACCCAGTTAAATCAAACCCAAACCCTGTTGGACTACATGAGCATAAAATGTTTTTTTAGCACACACATTTTTTGTTAACATGTTTTGATGAATGACAAATAATTGTGAATATTTTGGAATCAAGCGCATCTTTTTATTTCAGCTTCAAGAATATTATGTCAATGAACAAGATTCGGGATGGGCGTAGTACATTCTTCTATTTATTTGGGTCTTAGAATAGTGAAGAATGTGGACCTTTTATCTCTAATTTTTTTAAAAAAATTATTTTACTGAAAATTTGCTCAAACCTTTTTTTATTCAAAGTTTTTATTAAACTCTTTTTATGTGGATGTTCGATGTATAGGATAACCTTACTCAACTTCACCGTTGAGCGTGCTGTATGTTTTATTTGCTATACGCAGGTAAATAGAAAGAATGCTCTGACATGATCATGGCGGCTGACGGAGGCAAGATTGTCGGGATGGATGCGTTGGTTTTGAATTATTATTTCAAAAGACATAAAACAATTATGTTTTGTGATTGTGATTTGTTAAAGCTTAGGAAAATTGAAAACTTCGTTACTGCTATTGTTATTAATATTATTTATGATAAATAAAAGTGTTTGAAATGTTTTAAATTTTACGATCATCAAGTTTATACTTTAGTACGAAAGGGGCTGCAGACCTAGACGGATTAGGGTGTTACAATTTGGTATCGAAGCAAATACTTTTAAATTCGATTTTTGGATCAAAATTTGATATATATATATATATATATATATATATATATATATATCTGTGTGTGTGTGTGTGTATAAACAATCACGTCAACATTTTTCGGCTATTAAAAAACAAAAAATGTCAATCACGTCCACGACTCTCTCATCTCTCTGCTCCCGGAAGGTAATGAAAATTTAAGTATTGAGTTTGACCGTATTAAACTTTTATTAGATGACAATCGTTAACACTGAAATGATATCGAGTGTCGACTCAAGTTGAACTTTCGTACTTGGGAAATGATGGAAGAACAAACGAGAATTTTATGAACCACTAATCTGTTATCAACGTGCGCACTGTATCACAAGGATGATGAAATTAAAAATCTATCTATGCCGCAAAGTTGTGTGGGAACGAGACCACCATGAAGAAACGTTCAGTGTAGACTCTGCAAACAGTATTTGTGGATCCGGTGTAGAAGATCCCCCTGTGGACTCAACACGATCTGATCATTCAAACGCGAATGTTTAGAATTAATAAATCTTGTTGTTTCGTTCCGAATCCTTTTGATTGTGTACAATCATTTCAATTGTTTTATTCCCTTGTGATTTCTGTTATTAACTCGCCTACTCAAATAAAAGAATCCTAATAAAAGAATTTTTGTTATTTCTAGAATGAGTTAAGAAATCGCTCACGACCAAGGTAACCAAGTGCCCAACGATGAGCACGTGAGTGTTCATGATGAAGCATCCAGCTTCACTCATCTAATTCAGAATGAGCCTGTCAATCCCCAAAATGTCCCTCAAAACCTGGGAAACAATCTGAATGCCAGCGGTCAACCTGACGTTTTAGTACCTGTATTTCTGGCGAATATACTTCTACAAGTAGCCAATTCTTTAATGTTTCAACCCCCACCACCACAACCACCATCGCATGTGATCACTTTTAAAACTCTGAAAGATAATGGTGCTGAAGAGTTTATCGGAGATTGTATTGTTGACCCCTTGATTGCTTGGGACTGGATCGAGCATACCACTTGAGTACTGGGAGAGCTAAACATTCCCCTCAATGACTATCAGAGGCTTGCATCCCAACTACTCCGTAAGGAAGCTTACGAGTGGTGGAAACGAACTAGCACGGATGAAGAATCGCCAAAATTTTGCACTTGGGCATTCTTGGATTAGGAATTTAAAAAGGAGTACATTCCTGCACGTTTCCATGAAGAGAAACGTATGGAATTCGTTGAGCTACAAAAGGTGAATATAACGCTCCCTGAATATCGCTAAAGATTTATCCACCTTGCCAAGTTTGCACCGACATTGGTAAGCACCACGGCTAATCACATTGAGGAGTTTAGGTCAAAACTCTGACCTGATCTTATGGCGCTTGTATCCATCATCCCTACGGTAGATTTTATTGCAGCCTATTATTTGATCGCCTAGGGCGGTAAGGACCTGAGTGCCTACAAAGAGTATTTGAAAAAGGAAGATGTTGGCCCGACTGTTCGTTGACCTGCAAGTTCTGCCCCAGGTGGGAAAAGACCTTTCCAAGGGACCAACAATTCACAACACTCCAAAAAGGGGAAATCAGTGGCAACCCAGTCCGTGGCATCTGGTGATAGACCAAGGAAGTAGAAACATCTGATGTGCGATTTGTGTGGACGGAAACATCCCGGAGAATGCGGGCTTTCACAAGGATTATGTTTAGGCTGTAGTAAGCTTGGACATGTCTGAACGGACTATCCCCCTTATCCCGCTGAGCCATTTCCAGCTGCTCCCGTTGTCAGTCAGTCAGCATCAACACGTCCTGCACTCAGTCTATGTTCTACATTATTTCATCATAAATTAAACATAATCTAAATAAATAAATTCTCTAAAAATTTGATATATCCAAACTATATCTTAAAATGAACCCAATTATATTGAATTTATATTATAATTCAATATACTTTTCTCACAATTTATGGTCAAATAGTGTCACTGTTTGATCAAAAAGTCAAAACAGGAAAGGTTTTTAGGACATATTATATTCTTTTTCGTAGTAGTGCCTTGAACTTTTTTATAAACTAGTTTGAGTGTGTAAACACTTGGCACTTTCGAATTCCAACCGTTGTAGTTTTGGGTTGGTTATTTGAATAACCTTATATGCTTATTTGCAAGACCCTTTTAACCGTTATCAGTAACGGTCAGAATTTATTAGTTATTCGCATAACCTTGTGGAGTTTTTGAATAACCTTTTGAATGTTAGACCAATAGCTCTTTTTAAAAAATGCCAATGGTTATATTTTCTTTACCGATAAATATGAGTCATTTCTTCTTTGTTTGAAAACAACAAAGTGCTCATTACTTTTTAGTATAATTTATTAAGTGTTGAGATTATTGTTTAATTTTAATTATTATTTTGAGAGAATTTGTCCAGTCTTAGCTATATTAAATCTTTTCATCTACTCTCTCAAGAGAGTTTTATTTGTTAGGAGAGTATTGAGATGATCACATCTACTCGTAGTGTATTTGGGTTTTTTAAGAACCTGTAATCTTAGTAGGTTGAAATATTGGGCAATGAATCCGAGGGTTGAATTGTTGTAAAGGGTACATCTATGAGCAGTTGCAAATGGTTGTTGGGCACCTATAAGCCTAACAGAGATAGTGAAATCTCAAGAGAGTCTCTCAAGAACTAGGCTAGCCACAAGTTTTTGTGAATCAGTATAGAAATCACGGTGTCCTTTTTTGTCTTTTATTTCTGCATTTTACTTTATTCATACAATTTTTATTTTTGCAATTAGTTTTCAACATTCATGTGGCACATTATCCCCCTAGTGTTGGGAACTATTCTAACACACTCAAACTATGGCTGATCGAATTTGGATATACTGAATCCAAACTGAACTTGACTCATTAAGTCATTATCATCCTTAATTCTTCGAAATATTCTTCATATGCCGGGAAAATGGATTGTAATTGATCTATATCCTCATTGTCATATTCTATAAGTCTCAGTGTATCTCGGTAATTTGCTCTTATAGACAGTTATATCTTTGAACTTTTAAATTTTTTATTGTAAAAGAAACGAAGGTAAACTTTAGTCTTTTGTTATTGTTGAAGAAGCAATGTTCTTCTACTTAGAGTGCGATTCAAGTATGAAGTAATTTTTGAGGCATTGCCTTTGGTGGAAGATAAGAGGCTTCTGTATGCAAGTTTCGAGTTGTAAGATTTCTGTAACACCATTAAGATTAGAGGTTAGATAGTGGAAACATTGGCTACCATTATTTTGAGACTAGATGTAGGCACAAAGATTGACTGAACCGATATACATTGTGTATTTTCACCATCTTTTCACTTTATATTTTCTTGGTATTTGCGTATTTTGACATGCCGAGTTTTATTGTTTCTCTTGAATAGTTCAGGTCTTTTGAAGACTCGTTCTGTCAGGAATAATCTATATTTGCATTAGTATTTGAATCAATCATGTAAAGCTTATTACATATTGGGTGAATAGCTATCCCTACTGGGGAGATCCTAGTTATAGCCACTTTCCTACCTCATCCACAATTCTTAGGAAGAATGGTAGATTTTGTAGGGTGTAACTTTTGTATGTGAAGAGAAAATTGAGCCCTCTATAAAGAGTTACAATGATGCAAAATTTCAAACAATTAAGGATAACTAGTGATTGCAATAAAAGTATGTGTTTTATGCTGCAGTTGAACTGTTGGTTAGAATCATTCCAAACATGACAGTATCACATAATTTACATAGGCCAAGTACAATTATGTTTTGGATAATTTAGAGAATGTTAGGATCGAAACATCATTACTAGGCTTATTTCCTAATTATGAACACTTTCTTGTTATGTGGTAATAGCATTGAGATTGCCGTGAGATGCTGGAGATCCAAGTTCTCATCATTGGTCCAAGTATATAGTCAATGTTTTCTTTTACTAGAAAACTTATCCATTAAAATATATGTGAAATAATCACAGATGATGATGTTTAACACCCACTAATTATGACTCTTTGCATTAGATGTAGGCCACACTATGACAATTAGATTGTAGCAGAAGTTGCGAAACTGAATTTGAATGGGTATTAAGAACAAATGTTTAATAGATACATGCATATTATACATGAATTAACTAACTAGGCTAATGAACAATAAAATTAGATGTGGACCAACCCAGTACTTCTGCTCTAATGGCAATTGGCAAACTAGTATATAAAGGTTAACTCAGTAACATTGAAAAACCAAGTGATTTTCTGTGGAAAGGGAGAAAAACCTTTCCGGGATGGAAATAAAAATATAATATCCCAAAAAGAAGAAAAAAAAATCACATTTGTTTGAGTATGAACAATCAAAAGGCATCAATCTTCCTTTTTGTTATCCATTTCCCCCTACATATCTTCCTCTTTGTTAGCCATTTCCTCCTACAATTCCCGGTTGACTCCCTCATCCTCACCAATTCACGGCAATGCTGCAGATGCTTCTTCATATCAAAAGCGTCTATTTCTCGCTTCAATGCATCTTCGTTGTGTCCCTTCTCTGCTACAGAGAGGCAAGAAATGCCTGAACTAATACTGCCCGATTTGGCATTCATCGAACTGGCAAAGGATACCATTGAACACCCTTCATCAACAGATCGAAACGACTTCTCATGCTCATCAAGTTTCAAGGATGCTTGGACCAATTCCTCCTCGACACTGTTATTCCGAAGGATGATCTGGTCAGTAGTGCCTTGGCTGGCGATCACTTTTGATTCGTTCTCAAGAGCGTCATGTGAGATGTTGGCAGCACCCAAAATTGTGCATGATGGCTTCCAGTTTGGTATGAGTTTTAATACCAAAGTATCGATCCGGTCAGCTATTACCGCCACATCTTCGTTTGATAACTCCAGTTGTTCAACCATCTCGCCAGCAATTGAGAGGCCAGTGTCACATTCTGGGTAGAACGGGAAATCAATTTTTCTCACGTTACCTGTCAAAAAATAGAAGGGTTAATGATATTAAGATACTTCCTCCGTGCCACTGACTTTTTCCCTCCCTTTTTTCGCCCGTCACAGAATATTTATCACTTTTATTCAAAGAAAATGCATTTGTGGTACTTTTTTCTTTTATAGAAACCTCAACAACACACTCTTCCAGTTTATTAATCTCCGTGCCAATGACACTTGGAATTTCCAAATGGGAAGGAGGGAGTATATAATTCGCCTTCAGATATAAAGAGTGTCTGCCGTCCGGGTAACTTGCTTTCAGGAAATAAGTCAAATACTTATTACTTTAGAAAGAAGCATTTGGCAAAAAAATTGTAAAACTACTTTTAACAGTGAAAAAGCCCTTTTATGCATTAGTAGAGTAGCAGGCTAGAAATAAAATTCAAAAAAAGTACTTAAGCACTTAAATTGAGAAAGCACTTCTAATTAAAGCACATATAAGTTATCCCAAGAAAGCTTGTAAAGATTGGACAAATAATGCCATACCACCAAAGCCAGCAATATGCAAGTGTAACGAAATTGAATTTTCGTTACACTTCTCCCCTTCTAACTTAAATTTGTTCTTCTCATTGCAGCTCAGAAACTCAAAAGTTTGGAGTACCCCACTCTTGCTTTCAGCACAAGCAACACTCCCAAGCATTCTAGAAGAAGGATCAATGTCCATTGAGAGAGATTCAGAACTTGACAAGCTTGTGGATTTTGACATGGAAGTTGGACTCAGCAAAGGATCATAACAGAGTTCTGTTGAACTGTGAGGCGACAGGAATGAGTCTTTCAAAAGTTCTGATGCACTTGCTCGCTGGGATGCCGGGACCAAGCATTTTTCTATAAATTGCTTCACTTCGAGATCTTTAACTTTATCCAAAGCAGCTGGCTTTTTACCCTTGTACCAGATAATATTTGAATTATTATGATGCAAAATCTACATAACGTGTGTGCGTGTGCGTGCGTGTGCGTGTGCGTGTGCGTGTGTCTATCTTTCTATCCACACATATATTATGAGTATGTAGTGAATCTTACCGAGGTAACTTTTTTAAAGATCTGTGCCTGATTTATACATTCACTGTATGGGCATTCACATGTTATGAGCTCCAATAAGCACATGCCAAAGGAGTAAATGTCAGCAAGGTTGTCATACTCTTCATCGTAGAGCTCAGGTGCCATAAATTCAGCAGTACCTGTGTGGCAGAAAAATACATTCAAGGCTGAAAGGATGGATAGTTATTAACAGCTCATAAAGTATACCAGCAGAATCTCCCAGAGAAATAAGGCAATTACCAACAACACTTCTGGCAGTAGGCTGCATCATCATTGTAGCCAATCCAAAATCTCCTATTTTTACTTCACCGCTATTCCCATTTATAAAGATATTATCACACTTCACATCTCTATGAATAACAGGTGGATTCTGACTGTGAAGATAATGTAAACCTTGTAGAATCTGCCTAGCCCATTTCTTAATGGCCTTAATATCAACAACTTTGTGCTTCTTCCGAAATCTAAGTAAAAAGAATATCAAAATAGAGTAAATTATTGATTTAGATGGAACAAGACATATAAGGAAAAAATAAGGGACAAAGTTTGATAAAACTCACTGTCTCATGCTTCCAGAGCAGAATAACTCAGTGATCATGTTAATTGTTTTCTTCTCATTATCGACCCAGAAACAATGCAACTTTATGATGTTCTCATGCTTCAAGGACCTCAACAAGTGAATCTCGGTATACAATCTTTCCAAATTCTTTGGAGATTGTAATGCATCGTCTAAGTGAACTTGGTTCCATGCCACCCCAATTCCATCAGTTTCATCAAACCCCTTATAGCTGCTTATTCAACATATTATAGAAATGGACATTTTTAAATTAAAATGGTGTTCCTTTGAAAGAAAAACAAAAGTAAAATAAAAACTACTCTCAAAGCTATTAAAAAGATAGAGTAGGAAACATACACAGTCTTAGATGCGCCACTGCCCAGGATTTCATTATACTGGGAGAAAGCCAATAACAAAGTTCACAGAATAAGTTTATACAGTTAACATACAACAAAGGCATGTACAAACTCTAAGAATGTCAAAACTAAAATCTCAAAGTGCAATCACCATATCCATAGGGCTAAGACTATCTATCATCATAACAATGTGAAAAACAAGAGTATTGCTGCAAAAGCCGGTATCTTGTATTCTGACACTTTTGAATTATTGATGGATTTGACGCAATGGTCATCAATAATTTTAAATTTGTTAGTTTGTTTACTGCTGAGCACATAAGGACCTCTCCTCTTCATCTGTTTTCACTTGACTAGTGATCAGGTCTGGTTTGATAATGGGTGAACTTTATTATTATGAATATAGTATTCACCTAGTCATTAAAAACAAATTATTTTCTTCTCATTAGATATTTTTATGCATGCAATTAGTGATGAATTATTAAGAGAAAAATTTAGGTGATGAAAAAATTTGAATAATGTGAACAAATATAAAAGTCAATGGAATTACTCCATATGTCCCTTTTAAATCTTCTCACTTTCTTTTTGTGGATGTTCCTAATTAATCTTTCATTTTCTTTAAAAAAAAAAGAATTGCATGGTTCACATCAGTTCTCTCCCCTCCATAAAAATTTTAACCACACAATTTCACCTTAAACTCCATGTAAAAAGCAAATGGAAAGATTAAAACTAAAGAGCACGAAGGGAGTATTATTATTACTACTAATTTTACTATATCAATTTTAAAATGACTTAGTTCCATCAAAAAAATTATCTCATACAAATTGATTGTAAATATGCAGTAAAAATGGGAATTTGAGAAAGAAAGTGGGTTGACTCATGATTGCTTGACCTACATTACTCCCTCAGTCCCAAAAATATTCCAAGGTCAAACTATATCTTTTCCTTTACGCATTTTCGTTTATCATTTGATAAAATTGTCAAGTCAACACTTGCTTTGTATATTTTTTTATGTATTTTTTAAATATAAATTTTTATTTTTAAATTTTACATTGGCTTTCAAATATACTAAATTAAAAATAACTTTGGTCAAGCATCGTAAACCAAAACCAGCCTTTTTTGGGACGGAGGGAATAGTAACAAAAGAGAGTCAATTTAAGTTTTGGAACACTATCTCTACTCTTTCTCATAGTTTCCCTCAATCCATATTTCCTACACTCACTTCCTCTCATTGTTATCAAGTCGTCGAAAAGTCAACGATTAGTCAAAGACTACTCATCCCATCGTTTTTTGACTGCCAACTTTGGTAATGCTTGCGGCTGATAATATCATGTCAACCAAAACAAAAATTAGTTGTAACCCAGCCAGTGCTGACCCGACCTAACATTTAAATCTTAAAAAAACTCCATCCCATTCGCTATAAACTTCTGCCATCCGCATCTAAACTTCGTGTCGCCTACACCGATCGCATTGTTTCCTTGGTCTGTCATGACTCTCTTATCCGCCTTCGTTCCAGCGATTGTTTTTTATTTTTTCAGTATTTCAAATCTGACTTTTTTCTGGAACTGTTATTAAAAATCAAATTTTTACCATTATTTTATACGGTAGAATATATTAAACTATTAATGGAGTATCCATCATATTTTGTGTTTATTTAAGAACAAATGGGAGACAACAATATCAATGAGAGCAGAGAGCTATGATCCATCTAAGGATCCCAAAGGAAAAGCCAACACCAGCGATCCTAAGTGGAAATATGGGTTATGGCCCGATTTGACTAAAAAAGATGTTGTCGAGTGTTCACTCTGCCACAAAGAATATTAAGATGTCATCTATCAAAAATATGGTAACCTTTGGTGATATATTTACATTTATTATATAAAGAAATTACTCCCTCCGTCCCATAAAAAGGTTCCACCTTTGACTTAACACAAAGATTAAGAAAAGTGAACTTGCATGGTTGAAAATGATGCAGAAGAGAAATTTATAGGGCCGCAAATTTTATCGAAAAATGGAAAATGGAACCTTTATTTGGTACACACAAAGACGAAATCTGGAATTTTTAAGGGATAGAGGGAGTATTATTTAGTATGACTTTTGGACTAATCAGCGACTAGACAGCTGATAAACTACCCTTCTTCACCAACTTGACTTGTCAACGTGATAACCATTTCAGTGTGGTTTAGTAAGCTTTTAGTCTTTCGGAATTTTGTTCCTTTGGCCTTCCGACATTTTGTTCATTTTTATTATCTATTATTTTTCTTTTTGGCGTACCTAGTTTAAAACGTGAATGTTAAGAAGCTAAAGATAAATATTTTTTAAATAAAGCAAAATATGTCATAAGCAGCAATGAGTTTCAAAAGAGGCCATATTCCCTAACAAGTAACAACTCTCATGATTGAAGTATCATGGACATATAGGCCTCCTCACTCTTGTCCATTACTAACAATCTTCGTTGTTATAAATCCTAAAACTCAGAATAGTCACAGACAAAAGTTACTCTATAGTTAAGTTGAAGACTAAATCTTCTGAGAGATTAAATTGAATGAAAAGTTGCGTAGGTCTAAAACAGAGGACAAACAGAGGGTGGAATAAATGGTGACCGATCCAAGTTTAGTGAGGTAGATCCATCAGTTAGGGTCACAAAGCTTCAAGTCTAACTTCTTGTAATAGTTGTTGGGTTGTGCCTTATATACCCCCCTTCTGTTGGGTGCGATTGTGCGCCCTCTCACAATCAACATTGTAGAATAAAATAATTTTTTGAATATGTTAAAAAGTGTGATGGACACCATGATAGTGTCCATAAAGCAATTTGACATCTATTATGTGCAGAGTGATAATGAATTAAGCTAGGGGCACCCCGAATAGGCCCCCAAACTTGCCCTGGCTTCTCACAGACACGCAAATACAATGACAGTACTCGTGTAACAAGCACAGTTTCTTTTAGCAGCATGTAACAAGCATACTAGGATTGCATGCAAGAAAGATTTGAAATAATAAGAGAAAAAGACAAATCAGTTTGGTTGAGCAAAAAGGAATGGGCATGGAGAAAGTACCCTGAGGTATCGCTTGTTAGGGGATACTTCCACCACGTCAGAATCAGAAGCTTCAAACTTTCCTTTTCCCACACAAGGAAACACAAACTCATCCATCTTCGCAACAAAAATCAATTCTCTTATTTAAGAGCAACGAGCTGCAAAACAAAACCAGCGATCAAAGAAGGAGATGCTCGGAAAACGCTTCACAGGCGACGCAATACGAATCGATCATCCTTCTGAATCGGATTTCATGCCCGAAGAAGCTGATTTTTTGATAAATTGAAATTCCACTACTTCGAGCCGCAATTTTATCCATCTCCTCTCCTCAAACGATTAAACGAACACCGAACAGAATTGTAGATTTGAGACTTTTCATACACACGTGCGTAGATTGAGCAGTAAACCAGGGAAATATGGGTAAAACACAGGCTAAATTACGAATCCGGAGGAGGAAGAAAAAAGAAAGGGAAGAATTAGGGTTGGAGAAAACTATGATCGCAAATTTATTAGAAAAAATCTCCAAGGAGAATCTAAAAAGGGAGTCTTAGAAGCCAAACTAGGGCTAGACCTGCACGGATCCGGCTGGATCAGGTAAAATATTATCCAATATTCCAATCTAGTACTCTTTTCGTCCTTAAATATATCTCACAACGAAAAGGAATCAACAACTCAGAATTTTTGTTTATTTCTATACTTTCATTGGTTATTTATAAAATAAAATATTTTTGACACCTCTTATTTTGAAAAACTTTTCATGTAATTTTTGATATGTACTCCGTAAATTTTATTTTTTATTTCTATACCAATATGCAAATAAAATGAATTGAAAAAACTTAATATTTTACCTCGATAAAAGAAATGTGAAATATATTTAGAGACGGATGGAGTATTTCTTACTCCGTATAATAAAGGGAGGATTAGATTTTCGGTCAAATTTGTGCAATTTTAATTTTTAAAGTCAATAAAATTGTATTTTTTTAACTTAATTAAACATAAATTATATGGTACATAAATTGATTTTCGATTTCACCCTAAGAGGGAGTGAATTAGGGTGTTTAAAATATTTTTGCAAAGTAAAAACTTAAACGAAAGTAAAGAGCGGAACAAGAGCAAGGAAAATAATAAGAAAGAAAAGAGCACGACACAACGATTTTATACTGATTCGGTAGCTCCATACTCCAGTACCTCGAGGCTTCTCCTCTATGATTTAACCCCCACTAACTTGTTTGGCTTCACTTAGAAGACTCAAACAGTCAAACGAAATTTGGCAAACAACTCTTGCTAATAAGTAACGAGATTTTACAACGGCTATCTAACCGTTTTACAAAGAAGATTTTAAGGCTATCTTCAATCTTTTAACATAACTAGAATTTAAAGGTTATCCACACCTTTTACAAAATAAGAATTATATGAAGTTGATTCTCTACCAAGAATAAATAATTTGAGCTGGGTAGGAGAAAAACAAAATAATAAATCAACAACAACAATAGCCTATGAGCTAGATATAAAATAATGTATCAAAAATGCCCTTGTCTGTGAGTGCATAAAAATAATAAAAGCTCAAACTCTAAAGAGTGATGAAAATGAAGAGCAGAGCTTAAGAACACTCACAAATCTTATAAAAAGGCTTTAGGATGTTATGGGATGTTGTTGTATGAAAAATGAGACTTAGAGAGGGTTTATATAGGATTTGGAAAGGTTAAAATCGAGTACGGTACGTTTAGGACCGTTGGGGAGAGATTGAGGGTAATTTAAATTTGAATTGAAAATCAGCTACAGGAACTGCCAACGGTCACCTTCGCGGTAGGGGGTACCGTACGGTACCATGGTATTGTGGCCACGGTACGCCCTACCGCCAGGGGTACCGTCCAAAGTCAAAATTTCTCTAGCGGAACCTAGCCCAAAATGGGACTTCCTATCGGTCCAATGATACCGGCGGTACCTAGATACCGTGGCAACGATACAGGGGTACCGTGAGGTCCTTTTTCATTTTTCAAAACTTGTTTTTGATCCTTTTCTCAAAATAACCCCAACTAAGATTTATTTGGAAATGTTTAGAAAAAGTATTTTAAGTGCTAGGGCATATTGAAATCATTATAAATATTAAAAACCCTTACATTTCGATTTCTACGCTCGTAGGAGTACTTCTCGTAGGAGTATTTTAAGTTAAGAGAGGTTGGACGTTTGGTTCTTCTTGCAAATAATGTTAGTACCTTGGAAGACTTATTTGACACATCAAAATGGATACGGGGCACGACATTCAAGACCAACATAAATTAGATAAAATAATATGTGAAAAATATTTTAGAAAATAAATACAATTATACTATTTTTGTACTAATATCTAATCCTCCCTTTATCCACAATTTTTTTTCTCACTTTGTTTATCTGTTCACAAATTTTCTTCATGTTTCTTTTTTTAGAAAATGATATTCTTTAAAATTCATTAGTACCCTCACCTTTGAAGAATATTAATTACTATCATTTCCTACACTTTACTTTTTTCAATTGCCGGAGAACAAGCATGGATAGTCTCTTTTTTGTTTACTTTTTCATAATTTGCGTGAAAAGTCAAAGTTGGAAGATACTCCGTAAAAAAATGGACAAAAGGAGTATAAATTTAAAAAATCACTTAAAATAGGAATGAACATAACTCTTATTTCCAAAATAAGATTTACATATTTTTATTCTTAAAATAAAAGTTTTCATTGTGGCAATGTGGCATTGTATATTAATATTTCACTGTATCTTTTGGTATTATATATTGACATTATTGATATTGTAACTTTTATTTTTTGAATAAAAACACGAAACTCTTATTTTAGTACGTTCACTAAGTTTTACTACTCCCTCTGTTCTAGAATTAACTTCTCAGTTTAACTTTTGTAATCAAATTTTTAAAAATTTGATTGCATATTACAGAAAAAATCTGTTGAATTTTCATAGAAATTTGTTATCAATATATTCATTTTGAAACATAGTTTTGAAATACATTATTTTGTAATATATTTATATAAAAATAGATATATTAATGGTAAAAGTATTGCATTCGAGACCGTAAAAATTTGAATGCGAAGTTAATTTTAGGACGAAGAAATACTAGTTTAGTATTTTTTTTATTTAATTAATGGTCAAAACTTATTATCTACTTTGATCATCAGAATGTTAAAAATATAATAAAATTACTATTATTATTTTAACTTTAAACATAACCAGATCATGTAAGATCCATCCAAATCAAATCAAATCTAAGTAAAACTACAAAACAAATAAGACCAGATTAGATTCAATCAGATATGAGATTTAATCCAATCAGATATGAGATTTAATCAGATTAGATCCAATTACATCAAGTCATACCAAAACTTAAAAACTGAGATCATAATCAATAAGGTCAAGCAAAGGAAAAACATTCTAAATGGGTTAATTATGATTTTACTTCCGGTAAAATATGCGAGTTTTGTTTTTGGTCAATGTAAAAAATATTTGTGTAAGTCATCCTTAGAAATTTTTTTATTTTGTAAATGGTCCTTATACATAATTAAGATTTTAATTTGTTCACATAACACATTTATTTTGTACACAACAGCTTAGTGTTGCATTTTGAATTACTTTAGACACAATTATCATGTCCTAAATTGTATTCTATATCAAATTATATCTCCAACTCCCAAATTTATATTATATTATATTCCTAAAAAATTTATGAATTGGAGATGTAATACAAATAAGTACACTATTCAAGACATGGAAATAATATCGGATGTAATTAGAATTTTCAAGATTAATGTAACACCCTAATCCGTCCAGGTTTACAGCCCCTTTCGGACTAAAGTATTGATTTGGTAATCGTGATAATTTAAAACATTTCAAACATTTTTATTTATAAATAATATTCCATACATAATTGTAGAAAATACGGAGTGTTTAATAATAATGCGGAAGCGACTTTTAAACATGTCTCATAACAACATAATTATTTATTTTGTTCAATGATCCACCACGACTGTCTCGCCCCTTCTGCTGCCAGGAATCAGCCAATCATTCATTATACCTACCTGCGTGTAGCAAATAAAACACACTACACGCTCAGCGGTGAAGCTGAGTAAGCATATCTAAAGCGTCAAACATTCAAATAAATTGAATCTCAATTCATAATCAACCATTTGATATCATGCACACAATATATAATTCAAACGTTCATGATATTCTCAATATTTTATTCCAAGTCATTTGATATTCAATATCTCAACCGTGCTCTTAAATTATTCTTAATCTAAGGCCAAATTATTTTATAACAAGCTCTTAGCTATTCCTAGTCTAAGACAATATTTCTAACCAGGCCCTTAAACTATAAATAGTTTAATGCAGAACACAATAATCGATAATCCACCCTATGAGTCATGTGGATTACGTACCAACCGAACA